TCTCAAAACTACTGGGTTATGGGTTAACGAATGCGTGCCGCATAGCTCTCCTTCACCCTATTGCACGTTTAGCCGCTTTTAAAGACTATGCTGCACTCATTGAGCCAACTTTTACAAATAAACTAAGGTCCTTTCGAACCGTGACGACCTTTAAGAAACCTCTGGTGAAGAAGTATTGCCACTACGTCACTGCGTCTCTCGCGAGTACAAGTGGTAGTCTGGTTCTCAGCCAACCATTGGTATCTAAACCGGCCAATCAATTTTGAGGTCGACGCAGACATGCCCTCACATGAGGCGCACTGACACCTGCCCGGTGACACTCGAACCACGCTCTGGAGGTGCCGGACGTGTGTCCGCGTCCGGCTGCAAACTTTCTCCAACCCATTCTCCATTCGTCCTGTGCAGAATGCAATATTCTCTCTCACACACACTCTTACTGTCTGTCTCCTTTAGTGCTCTCCTCCGCCTATCTGAACCAGAAATGGGCTATGCTGGCTTGTCGGCGGTCGCTCTTCAGAGAGTCACAGCGATCAGCAGGCCAATCCCACACAAATACCCAGTCGAAGTGGGCCAGGCTTAACTGCTGTGCTAGTGACACCCCGGATGTCGCCCAAGTTCGAAAGAAGACACGGACAAGAGGTGAAGAAGAGTACGTTGATAAGACCGAAAATCACATCAGAGTAGGAATGTACCGCGTAATAGTTAGCAAGCACCACCTTGAACAAAAATGAATAATGGAAGGCTTTAAAATGTCTAACAAATGGAATAACTACAAAAACTGCCTAAATACAAGGTATAGCAAAATGTTTGTCCCAGCCTTCTGGCAGTCGTGAACCATCCTCGTGAGTCGAAACAGCATTAGTAACCTTTCAGGTGTCTGGAAGCTTACTGGAATCAGGCAAACACAGACCTATGGTGTCAAGCTGCATATATATCTCTATGATTTGCTTTCTCAACAGTACTGTTGGAATCTCATCCGGTCCTAGAGATTTCTCTATATTCAGGTTCCTTAATTCAGCCCTCACTTCGAACTCTATCAACTGGGCGACCTCGATTTAATCTTGATTTTGGTCTAGCAGTGAAGATAAACTGTCGTCAACTACAAACATAAACGTTGATTCACACCTACGGGAGGCATAATTGCTTCGTCCTAATGGGGGCCTAGATTGAACTTGTCGATATCTTCCTCGGCCCTTGAGATTTAAACAGATGTGCTTTTGCACATCTCCTATCCATGTTGGCAGCAAAAGAATGAGAAAAGAAATTCATGTTCCTGTGTATCTGATTAAAGCCATGCTAAAGTACGAGAAAAGGCACCCCCGTATTACAAGTGGGCTTGCACCAAATCCAGGGAGACAAGGGTTACGGTCATGGTTAGGGTTAAGTTTGGGATTAGAATTAAGGTTTGGGTTAGTACAAAGGAATGGGTACTTCTCTTGGAATCTAAAGCAAGGCCATCTGCACTACTGAGGGGAGGAAGTCCTATTCCGGCGTCCTACCAAATTCTAACCTAGGCCTTGCGATCCTCATCAAGTGCCAATTTGCCATGGACGCATTAACGACGTCACGATTCTTTCCCTGACCGGTTTTCTACTTCTCGGTCAGTAGTAGTTTGGGCTAGATCGCAGTTGGTAGCCAGGAACCGTATTACAGGTGGCGGGGGGTTTGTTTGCTGGGGCTTTTTTGTGGAGCTCCATAATCACATCTAACCCATTTGGCTTCCGTTTTACGTCTGAGGTTAGGATTAGGGTACCGGTTAATGGCTTCCGATTTTCCGGTTAGGGATATGCCTTTAGGCTTAGGTTTTCGGGTTACGGTTAGGGTTTGAGAGTACGATTAGGATTCAGTATTACGGTTAGGTCTTTCAGTTACGGCTATGTCTAAGGGCTACGGTTATGTTTGCGATTTCAGTTAGGGTTAGGGTTGCCGTTAGGCTTAAGGGTTAACGTTTAGGCTGAGGTTAGAGTTAGGGTTAGGGTTAAGGCAAGGATTATGGTTAAGGTCGCCGTCCGCCTGCCCATTCCTGGCTACCAACTGCGATCTAGCCGTAGTTTGCCTTTCTCCCCGCTATGAATTTAGGGCCTGTAAACAACTACTAGGTTTGGATAAATATTTCCCCGGTACGAAGTTGAAACAAGCATGCACAGCAGAATTTATTGGTACCAACAAATTTCGCAGCGGCTTGCCAACTGCAACCTGTCGCTGCATTGTAGTGTCCGAGGCATGTAGGGGTGCGGGTTTGGCTTCTTCCTTAGTGTTACCACTGAGTCGAATGTCTTCTTGGTCAGAATCCTGTAAACTAATGTGAAGTGAACTCATTGGTCTCGAAGCGCAACCACACGCAAAGTAGGACAGATCGGTGGCAAGAATGTTAACTGAAAATATAACAACGCGCAATAACTGCTTCTGTTCCGTCTTCTTCTTCTTCACTTCCTCCTTCTGGGCGTTCTCTTAGCCAACCTATTAGCACCCATCCAACGCGATAACAAAAATCAAGTTCGAAAAACAAGTGAGTCAGAAAAGAACAAGATAGACAAGGTCACATTCAAACAGCATGGCCGGGTTGCCCTTCTACAGCATAGCACACGTTACGAATACGAATGATGCAACAGTTGGAATGTCCACAGAAGAATCGGTAAAATGTGGTTATGCGGCCCCACCTGATGGACACAGTGCTGTTAGGGTTGGGTTTAGAATCAGGGTTATGGTTAGGGGCTAGGGATAGGGGCTAGGGCAACTATTTCTAAACTACTCAAAGTACAACGGCACATTCACAACAGCTTTTCTTTTGCATACAAATACTTTGCCTCGTCGCCTGTGCGTTCCCACGCCCCACCTGTACAAATCCTCATTACCACCGGTCCCGTAATACAGGTGGCTGGAGTTTGTTTACTTCAGGTGAGGCTACATAACCACATCTGGCCGAAAAATCAGTACTAAACAGCAAGGTTAGCGTTTAAGACACACAGAATAGTAAATAAAAATGGTGACTTCAAAACGCAATTTAAGAAAGGAAATGGGAAAATGAACACGCCAAGGGGGTGAGTAAATCAAAGGACTGGGATTTACCAGGGCAAACTGAGTTTGAATATGTGGTCTAACTGTTTGCATAGGTCGGGATTCCCCGCCGTATTTCGACTGCCTCTAAGCAGCGTAATGTTCGAGTTTTAAGTGCCTGAACAAGCACTCGAAGGATGTTCTGGGGTCTATGGAGTGACCGCCACCTAGGAGGTGTTTCGTGATAGAAAAACGAGGAATTTCATTTTGCAGCTTTAAAAGTCATTTAGGCAGGTGCTCAGCCGACATGGCTGTCCATTGCTTTTGTTTTCGCTCAATGTACTCGCGTCCACAAGTGCATATGCATTCATAAACACAGTTTGCGGTGGCGTGCAATTGCAAGGCATCCTTTTTCCGTGGAATCGGAATAACTTTGGTGGGACTGCTGAATGTGAGTTTGGCTGTGTTGTATGTCCTTCCAGTGGTTTATCTTAATCGTCGCTTGCTGGTATTTGAAATGTCGTCATCCTTAAATGGTAAGCATATTGCCACGGGCTCTTTCGGAACTGATTGTTCCGTCAATTACGGTCGTAAATTATTTCTGTACTTTTGGATGAGACGTACTGAATATCCACGTTTGAGTAAGGTTATTTTGAAGCAAGAAAGGCCTGTTTCTAGTGCCTCAATGGAGCAAATGTTTCTCGCTTTTTGGAAGACAGTGTGAGTTAGGTTTCCTCCTTGTTTATTGGCACAAAGCTCAGGAAATGTAGGTACTGACCTATTCATGTATCCTTATGGAATACCGATCGCCTTATTGAACCATCTTCCTGTCGAGTCATGAGAACCTTCAGGAAAGGTAGCTTGTTACACTGCTCCTTTTTCATTGTGAAGTTGATCTGCGGATGGAGAACATACATAGCAACAAGTAGGTCTTCGGCTTCTTCGTTGTTATCAACAATCGCAAATATGTCGTCTACACATCTTCTGCATAGTGTTTTCATGTCCAATTTGGATGACAACTGGGGTGTAGGGGTGTCCAGCGGTGAATTCACGTGACGGTTGTAGTAGGTCGCTCGATTGCTTGCGGGTGTAGACTACACCTAGCGTTCATTTGCTGGCACCCAACTCTCACATGTGGCTCCCCAAAGCTAGGCTCCGCCTAGCGGCCACACCCCTGCTACCGCCTCAACCGGTGGGCTGAACCAGGTGTGTGCACCTCCGCACACGGTAATCTCGGCTCCGCTGGCGGGCATTGGCGTCTCCGTGATGAGGCCCCACCTGGAACAACCGTAGGAGGCCACAAGTTAAGTGAGCCTCCAGGTAAGCGAACGTTGCTCTGCTGCCTTTGCTCTTGCTTGTTCTTGTCTGCCTGCTTTCTGTCTGCTTGTATTTGCTTGTCCTTGTTGAAAGCAAAATGCGTTCTGTTGAAGTTCCTCTGTTGCCTTTGCTTTTTGCTGTTCTTGCCTGCTTTCTTTTTGTCTGCTTCTTCGTGTCTGTCCTTACTGCAAACTAAATGGCGTTAAGATGAATTTGTCTGCTCACCTCTTATATTTCAGCAACCAGTTTAGCTTAGAGAGGGACGGGGAAGCTCTGCATCCCGTCTCTCCACTCCCCCCTAACCCGTCGTAGGCAGTCTCTGGCTAACTCGTGTCTCTCTCCCATTAAACAAAAGTCGTGGCCCATAGATGAGTTTGGCAGCCGTCTAGGACAACTGAGCAGCCCTAATTAGGGAGAGCACTGTTGACCACCGCGAGGAAGACGGGGCTAAAACAGGTGCCCTAAGCAAATGCTGGGGACCCACGCCGTCTGCAGGCTGACCGTGGCCTCAGACGCAAAACTGACGGTCGAAACAACCGAACAAGAAACAACTATCTCTTCTCCCTTCTGCTCCTTGCCGCCTCGCTCGCCAGACTGGTACGGTGAGTCCGCTCACTTTGGCAGCCTGGAATGTTCATTCCCCTTTAGACAATACGGGGAGCAACCGACCGGAACGGAGGAAGACGCTACTGGCTCGAAAGCTGGCGCACTACGAAGTGGACATCGCCGCACTCAGCGAGACCCGATTCTCCGAACAAGGCCAACTGGAGGAGGTGGGTGACGGCTACACCTTCTTCTGGAGTGGTCGCCCCAAGCCAGAGTGACGAGACGCGGGTGTCGCCTTCGCCACCCCGAACGACATCGTGGGACGACTGCCCTGTCTGCCGCAGGGTGTCAAAGATCGCCTGAAGAGCCTCCGTCTGTATCTCCAGGGAGGCGAATTCGCCACCATCGTCAGTGTCTACGCTCCTACGATGACCAGCCCCGGAGCTGCGAGGGACAAATTCTACGATAATCTGTACGCCCTCTTGGCGACTGTGTGAAAGGCGGACAAATTGATTGTCCTCGGTGACTTTAACGTCCACGTCGGTAGAGAACATGCGGTCTGGAGAGGAGTGCTGGGTCCCCATGGCCTCGATGGCTTCAACGGCAATGGACTACTTCTCCTAAGAACTTGCGCATAACGCTGACTCATCCTGACGAACACCTTCTTTCGCCTCCCGATGCGAGTGAAGACCACCTGGATGCATTCTCGGTCGCGTCAGTGGCACCTGCTGGACTATGTCCTCGTCCGGAGGCGAGACCAGCGGGACGTGCTGGTGACAAAAGCGCTTCCTGATGCCGACGGCTGGACCGACCATCGTCTCGTCATCTCCAATATACGGATTCGCCGACAGCCTTGCAAGGGACCTGAAGGTAAACTACCCCTATTGTCTGTGCTTCCTCACCATGCCCATTTCATCAACGAGCTAGATCAACGGCTAGACAACCTTCCATTCGCTGCCGCAGCCGCCGCCGCCGCTGACGAGAACGCAGTCGTTGAGAACCGACGGTGTCACCTGCGGGGCACAGTCCGGCTGACGACCATGGCTGTCCTCGGTCGCTCACGTCGCAAACACCAGGACTGGTTTGACGACAACGAGGCTTCCATCAGCAACCTGCTTGCAGAGAAGAACCGCCTGCACGAAGCCTGCGTCAACCGCCCCACCGACGACAACAAAGCAGCTTTCTACCATAGTCGTCGCCTTGTGCAACAGCGGCTGCGAGGGGTGCAGGACGCTTGAAAAACTCGCAAGGCCGAGGAGATCCAAGAGTATGCGGGCCGCAACGAATGGAAGAATTACTTCTACGCGACCAAGACTGTCCACGGTCCGCCAACCAAAGGAACTGCTCCCCTTCTCAGCGCCTAAGGCAGTACCCTGCTCAGTGAGAAGACACAAAGCCTACAGTGATGAGCCGAGCACTTCAGAGGCGTCCTCAACCGTTCCTCCACCATCTCCGACGCCGCTATCTCACGTCTGCCTCCAGTGGCGACCAACGTGGACCTCGACCTCCCGCCCTCTCTCCATAAAACCATCAAGGCCGTGCAGCAGCTCTCCAGCGGGAAGGCTCCCGGATCGGACGCGATCCCTGCTGAGATCTAAAAGCACGGTTGCCACCACCTTATGGATCATCTGACGGCGCTCTTCCAGGAGATGTTGCGACAAGGAGAAGTCCCCAGGGTTTCAAGGACGCCACAGTCGTGCACCTCTATAAGCAGAAAGGTAACCGCCAAATCTGCAACAACCACCGAAGCATTTCCCTGCTAAACATCGCTGGGAAGATCCTCGCTCTCATCCTCCTCAATTGCCTGAACCACCATCTGGAATAGGGTCTCCTACCGGAACGTCACAGGATCCGCGTCGCCTACAGGACGTACGGTCAACTGCTCAACCACCGGCGGATACATTTTCAATCGCCTTTCTCCACAACCACCGTCCACAAACCTCTCTTCGCTGATGTCTGCGCCCTCAATGCAACTACTGAAGGAGACATGCAAAGGAGCATGTGTCTCTTCTCTGCTGCCTGCATCAATTTCAGCCTGGTCATCCGCACGGAGTATACGGTGTTCATGCACCAACCGCCACCCAAAACTTCCCAGAATGCGCTGCAAATCAGCGTGAACGGAAACCAACTGCAAGTGGTGGACAACTTCACGTATCTGGGCAGCACCGCCTCCCGCAGCACCAAAATCTACGATGAAGCGGCCCGCCGGACTTCCAAGGCCACTTAAACTTTAGGTCGTCTTCAAAACACAGTTTGAAATCGTCACGGTCTTCAACTCAGCACGAACCTGAAGATGTACAAGGCCGTCATCCTCCTGACGTCGCTGTATAGAGCAGAGACTTGGACGGTGTACATGATGCAGGCACGCAGACGAAACCACTTCCAACTCAGTTGTTGTCGTCGAATACTGAAGGTGAGGTGGCAGGACCAGATCCCAGACACGGACGTAATGGAGCGGATGGGAAACTTCAGCATCGACGCCATGCTGAGACAGCTGCAACTATGTTGGAGCGGTCAACCTGTACGGATGGACGACGAGAGGCTACCCAAACGACTCTTCTATGGAGATGTCGCGACGGGCTCACGCCGACATGGAGGTCAAGTCCGGCGCTACAAGAGTACTCTGAAAACCTCTCTGAAGTGCCTGCAGATCAACCCGGCAAACTGGAAAGACCTCGCCTGAAACCGACCTACGTGGAGGAGAACAGGGAAGACAGGCGCAGCAATCTTCGAAGCCAACCGCATCACCACCGCCAAAGCCAAACGCTAGACACGCAAATCTCCACTGCCACCGCCGCCACCGCCTCACAACACCAACGCCCAACCGCCTCCAACGTGCCCACGATGTCAACGGACATTCCGGGCGTCAGTTGGACTTGTTGGACACATCCAGATCAAATGCAGCACTCGGACTTCACCAACCATCGTCTCCCCGCCCACCTCTACCTCGCCTCCCACGTCGTCAACTAATGTTGGGCAGGCTTTATTGGTAGTGCCTCTCAATCGACGACTGGCTGCGCAAACTTGAAGGGCTACAGCCCAGGCTAATTGCAGGGCCAGGTGTCGCCCTTCTAGGCCAAAATATCTGAAAGCCTGTGCTGTGCGAGTATCAACAAATCATGGCCCCTGCTGCCTGGTATGCGTTGGAAGTTCCCTGACACCTGGCCCCTTGCCGATAGATGCGCTTGCGTTCCCTCTGAGTACACAGGTGGTGGGTATGGCTGTCTAGTTATCATCCTCGTCCTTCTGATCCCTGTTCGGGTGTTGTTTTTGTTGTTGTAGTTGGTCAAAAACCGGGTCATTTGCTGTGTGGCCCAGGAGGTGTGGAGTGGAGCGCCGAGGTGTGAGCTCGACCGTGCCATCCACCTGTGACCTCCCCCGCCTCTTATCTTTTTGACTCCGTCTTGACACCAGGTCCAGGTGGGGAAGATAGAGTCCGGTAGATGCTGTGCACGGCTGATATCACTGTAAACTAATTCACGTACAAGTCAACGTACCTGCCTTACCGTGCTCTGTAGCAAACGGTGGGCATCGTCTGAATCGACGGTCGAACTGTCAGATGACAGCTTTTCTTCTAGGTGACCTATAAAAATATCGAGAAAGTTGCACCTAGCTGACTTTCCATTGTTACACCATCCATTTTTTTGTATAGTTATCTATTAAACAGAAACTGAACAGCATAATTTCTGCAATTCGCTTAGTATTTCGAGTGACAGACAGGTTTCAGATGCATGGACGCAGATAACATCTATTGCTTCACCAAGTGGTACTTATGTAAATAGCTATTATGCGCCCAGGCAGATCATGCATTTGCTGGAGATGTTTTTATACCTACACTGCAAATCTTGGTAGCATCAGCACCGTTCCTGTCCATTACAGTTATAGTTTTTTCTGGCTACCTGTCTATCTGCCATCGCAGCAGTTACCCGTCTGTGCACAACTCAGTCTCGCTTACCCTGAGTGAACCCTGTGTTAGAGCGGCGGTATCTGAGAGAGGTTGATTTTCTTTTTTTGTGTGTATTTTACCTTGTACTCGGACGCAATCAATGGAAAATATAATCTACATAACAGGCTTTCCTGTTGGGTTCTGTCTTTAGTTCTTCTCATTCCTCGCCCCTCCTCACTCTCTCTCTCTCTCTGTGGGAAAATCACCCTGGTAAGGAGGCGCCAAAGTGACCTTCTTTTGGAGCTGATATTCTGTTTGGTAGTGCACATGTTTCGCTTTTGGCTTTCGCTCCAGTCATGTTGCTCAACCTCCCTCGTTCGCTATATCAAATCTACCAGTTTGAAATACTTCTCATGCCCTAATGGATTGACTTTTAATTCCCGATTTCAGGGTTTTCAGATAGCTGCAATATTTCTAGGTCACGTTATGCCCTTCTCTGCCTAAAAGCTTGCCTGGGATGAGACACTCTCTTTACAACTATGCGCCGTCTAGATTGTTACTGGAAGCCTACACTCATATGAGTCCTTTCAGTCACTGAAGTGAGAGAAGTGTTTGATGTAGACCTGGCTCCCACTTGTCCAGCACTCTTCTTTGTACTAGGCCAGATAAGGATTTATAGGTCTTGCGATTGTTTCCTTTGCTCCTTAGGAATTCGAGAGTTCACCTATTTTCATTGATAACTCTACTGTCATCGCTTGTCTGTTCTGGAACTTGCCCGCATCTACTTGTTCCGGGAGATTTTTCGGCTTCGTACTTAAGTTTGACAGTCCACTTTTGTTTCGTTTTACCTGGTTGTGTCTCTGTGTTCGAGTCTGTGCAGTTGGCTTCGACTTCGGCGACTTCCAACTCGTCTTATTGTGCTTGGCACGGCAGTTTAAACTATAGGCAGATCCGATACAAGCGAAGATGCGAGTTCCAGGAACTAGTTGATCAGAAGAAGAAGAAGAAGAAGAAGAAGAAGAAGAAGAAGAAGAAGAAGCGATCGCTGACTAGGCAGATCCTAGTCACTACGAACTTCGGACCCGGTGCAGAATAGAAAGAGGAGCGGTTGGACGTCAAAAAGTGAGGGTGTAAGTAATAAACCGGTCTATCGCGAGTAGAATTAGAAAGAACAAAGTAGCCGCAAGAAGGCATCGTGGCGATAACTTGCCATTTAAAGTTGTCTAAGATTTATGAAGCACTAAAAAAGAAAACGCTTGGTTATGTCTCTACAATACTCCCTCTCCCAGGAGAACAGGATTCGAATGTGAAAAATTTGTGTGAATTAGACAAATGTTAAGCCTAATGTACAAGTTGGTAACGATCAGGCAAACGGACACGGCAACCGCTGCGCGTAGGAGGTGGAATCGGGAGGGGAATGTACAGGGTTATCAGATGGAAGCGGAGACGGGACGATCAAAGAAGGCATTGCGGCAGGTGAAAAAGTCTGATCTATTGGGGTGGGCGAAGGAAGGTCGGTATAGGCCACATTCAACCGATCGATTGATACCACTTCGGTGTGATCTTCACGGACGATTTCGAAGTGCTTGTCCGTGCGCGACAGGACTCGAGATGGTCCGTCGTGGGGCCGTTGTAGTGGTTTACGAACGCTATCTACGCGAAAAAATACAAAAGAGCACGTTAGCAAGTTAGGGTCAATATATGACCTAATTGCTGGGACGCGTGGGGGTATAGCTCGGAAACTAACCATTGCTTGGTTCAACCGTTGGACATCATCGGTTGCATCCAGATCGGCAAAGCTTTGTGATGGCCCGAAAAAAGTCGCCGAAAATCCATAGAGTAGTCCCATAAACAAGTTTGGCAGTTGAGCACCACAAGTCGGGTTTGAGCGCGGTGCGGATACCGACCATGATCAAAGGGAAATGCTCGCTCCAATAAGTGGGGTTGTTCTAGACCCAAAACGAGGTTTTGAGCTGACGTTGGAAACGCTGTCGTGCGTAGACGAGAACATCCCAGGAGGTAAGTAAGGGCATTTGAATGTCTAGATTCAAGTTGTTGGCCTCGGTCGGCGCTTATAGTCGTGGGGACACTACAATGGGAAATCCAGTGGTCCAAAAAAGCACAAGCAATAGCATCTGCAGCGATTTTTGGAATCGAGTTGCGATGAGCCATCGCTTAAATCGATCAGCTGCAGTGAGCAGCTAGTTGTAACCACGGGGAGTTGGCAAAGGACCCACGAGATCTACGTGCACTTGAGTTTTCCGACAGGTCAAACATAAGCGATTCCACTGGTGGGTATCAATGTTCCTGTTAGGCCAGACGCAGCGTTCGCTGAAGGGGCATTGAGGAGCTCGGTTGCCAGGGTGAGCGAGCTTGTGTAACGTAGTGAAAGCATCTCATGGCGTCTCGCTTGGCACTATACGGTGAGATGGTATCGCACGACGCGTGGCAGGAAATTTTACTGGAGGTGGCGGACAGAAAGATGCTTTTAATCTGAGGACTAGCGTGCTCCAGTTGCTCAGGACAATTCGACTATTGCTGTAGATCGCTTACGAGCTCCAAGTTGACGGAAGGCGAGCAATGGCATGTGCATCAGTTTGGAGTGATAAAGCACTTGAGGAGTATCCGCCACACTGTTTCATCCCGCAGTCAGTTCACACATGACAGTTTGACCGTCGTTGCCGACGATTTCCACCGTATGCTCCACAGCAGGGTGGGAGCATGGACGATGACTTGTGAGAAAATTTGGTTTATAGTGGTGACAGACTTGCACAACATCTACTGCACTCTCTTCTCCTACCCCAACTGGACCCGGTGTCAAGACAAAGTCAAGAAGACCGGAGGCAGGGGAGGACGCAGGTGGATGGCACGGTCGAGCCCGCACCACGGCGCACCACTCCACACCCCCTGGTTCGCACAGAAAATAACCATGGTTTTGATTAACTACAACTATGGGGGGGAGGTGGAGGGGTCCCAGTGTGCGCCATGTACGCCGGTAACCGGGTCCGCTATCGCAACCCGAAAATGTTGGAACTTGTTATGGTGCGCAGAGCCGATACCGCCTGCCAGAGTCCAGTGTGACCACGTTTTGGTCCAGCGCATCTGCCAGGTGGCCCGTTTGGCGGCACACCTAGCACAATATGGTATGGGCTCACTCTCATGTTCACTGGGCCGCCTCTTGCTAACTGCATCAGTTCATTACCCTGAACCTGAGCCTGTGTGTCCGGATTGATATTCAAAGTTCATAACATGGTTGTCGGAAACGAAAAAGGTGTATGTACTTATATATAAAAGTTGGGCTGCAGACAGCATCCTCATGCATTACGCTGCATGATGATCTGTTTTACAACCCTATTTACTTAATCTTTTCCGAACGAAAACGCACTTTGGAATTTCGGTTGACAGTTCATGAGTTAGCCCACCTACTGTATTTACATATGAGAGTTGAGCTGCAGAGCACAGGATAAGATGTTGTCCTGTCAGAGGGACGCTCCCTATCTGTGCTTTCCGTCCCCCAAAAGTGCAATAACTCACGCATTCCCTTGACAAGATAACCGTTGGGGCAGAAATGGGATACTAAGTTGTAACCAGATTGTATATCAGATTTAGAGCGTTTCGACGATAAAGTCGTCAGAAAGGAGATGAGGTGGGAATTAATCACCCTCACACCCATAAATATGCTTTAATGAAAGACTTATCATCGTTCCGAAATCCAAGCTCGGTATGAGCATATGCTATGGTAATCTCTCGACAGTGCTTGGAAGAGATTTAACGAAGGCGTCTCAACACTTCCCTAATTTGCTCATCCAGTTTCGTTCCAAACAAAGAGACTGAAATTAACTGACTTTGTAAGAGTTTTGGAAACATTCTTATAAACGCTGAGGTATATAAGAGATAATTTAAACGAGTTTGCCCAAACGATAGCCTGCGAGAGTCCGGTATGGCCCCCCGTGTTGGTCCAGCCATCTAACACGTGGCCCGTTTGGGGACATACATAACACACACACACATTGCGCTGCTTTAGAAATCTGATAATGTAACAAAAATCATACATACTGTCTGCGATAAAATACCACTAGACAGT